TTTGTTGATCGGCTGTAAGCGTCGGTGGAAAGTCCTGGTTCTTCGTCCATTTTGACTTTGGATTTGTGCCAGGGCCCATGTTTTGCGGGTACATTTGTCTTTTTTTTTTTTTTTTTTTCACGATCAAAAGAGCAGTGCTCAGTCTGCCAAATGCTAGCCAAGGTTAGGGGCGTAGCCTGTCCTTCTATAACATTAAAGTTTCATTCTAATTTTATCTTCCATTCACTCATTATTTATCAGTGGGCTGAAGAAAGTCAGCGACTTCAATGTCATGGTTTCTGGTCACAGCATCTCTAGACCCTATCAACTCTCAGATCCATTTCTGCTTTTATTCAAGTTTATAACATACATTTACCCTTCATAGGGAAATGTAGAATAAGCACAAAACCAGCTAGCATTGCCTGCCGGGTATTTTTTTTTTTTTTTTATACGTAACAAATTGGCCTTATTGAAAATAATGTGAAAGAAATTGTAAATTGTTTACATTTTTGGCTTTCTCCCTTGCCTGCACAGAATCTGGTAATCTGGTAATCTGGTAATCCTAGTTTCAGCTTTATAGCAAACTGCTCATCCCATAGTTGCTCCACTCCTGTGACAACGTAAAACACACGTAGCTCACAGTGTCACGCCATGCACTCAACTAAGAAGCTGGGCGACGAAACTATATTCTTCTAGTCTACAAATGGAACAAAAAGGCCAAAAAAAAAATTTCCACGGCTTTAAAACAAACAAAAAACAAAAACAAAACAAAAAAAGGTTGCTGTGCCTAGCGTCCATTTTAACTTGAAGCATTATATGAGGGTTAATAAATGGTCACCTCAGCAGTACCCTCACTATTAGCAGGGGAAGGGACTTAGGACATTACATCCACCAGCAGGCGTCGCCCCTACAACGACCTGACTGCCTTCGTTAACAACTGTTCACCCAACAGCCATGCAGTTCTTTGGTACGAAAAAGACACCTTGAACTTGGGTTTGGGATTGCCGACTCCCTACAAGATGTTATTTTATGTTTTTTTATCACAATCGACGTCACTGCACATTGGGCATACCCATGCGTGCTTAGTCCTCCGAAGCAGCAGCCACTTCAAAGTACTTCTACTAATTGTCCCCATGAGAAGCTGGTTATTTTGTCTGTTTTCTCGGCCTTGAAAACGGCAAAGACGCGCTTCCCCATGCTTAACTCCCATGTCACGCAATCGTGTTAGTGTCAGAGATTCCTCATTATCCACTAGCCCAGTCCGTACAGCGTTGACGATATCTGCTCTGTCCATGCTTTTTCCCGCAATCATTAGTGCAGTGCTTGCCAGTTGGTCCGCTCACTCATTTCCCTTTAAGCCCGCATGACCCGGTGTTTAGATCCAGGTTACGGAGGTTAAGTGCGATTTCTATCCATTCAGAGCGCATACTGCCTGTTGCTTTCTTCTGAAGCATATTCATCGAGTCTGAGACAATTACTGCCCGTGTGGCTGTTTGCTTGGATACCCATGCTAAAGCTCCAGAAGCAGCGGCTATTTCCATGGTCATGTTTGACGTGGTTGTCTGGTAAGCTCCGCTGTCCTCGTGTATTGTTTTTCCCCTTCCACACCACAGATGCTTACGACTGGCGTTGGTGTACTGACGATGTAAGTATTCAGAGAGAACCATGTTAAGGGGGCTTTGGACAGGTTCACCTGAGCTCTTGATTCCTGGCACCACTCACTAAGTCTGTCTAGTTCGTGTTGTAGTGTGGTTATAATTTCCTGTCTGTTTTTACCTCGATGGTAAACAAGGATATCATCTGCATACGACATTGTCCTGCCTAGGCCTACGCTTTGTGCACTCGTGACTCCTGCTGTGTACACATTGAAGAGGACAGGCGATAATGATGATCCCTGGGGCAGACCCATTAGGGCGCGTTGAGGTTCGAATGCCCATTCACCACACCGACACTGTTCTTTCAAAAAGCGCTGCAGCGATCCAGTTGACCAGTTTTGTTTCTATCTGCATATCCAACAGCAGTCTGCTGAGCAAGTTGTATGGGACGCTGTTGTACGCATCTTCTGAGTCAATAGCGGCTGCAGCCGTTTCCATTCCTCCTGGAAACCCTCATATGTGTAATATGAAAAATGCAGTTTCACACTCTGTTGCTGGAGTATACAGGTAATGGGGTTTTTTAAGTGTTCGATATATGTGTATGAATAAGGCACAAGAACAAAAATTACATGTGAAATGCACTGTCTCCGCAAGGTCACTAACAAGACAAGATAAGAAAGGGTTTTATGAATTCCAGCATTAAAGAGAAATTTTAAATAAGAGAATGTCTGGTTTATATTGACAGACAAAGAATGAACTGCGTCTGCATCAAGTGATAATGCAGCCAAACTAGACTTCATATGAGACCTTTCACAGCAGAACATTTGGGAGAAAGGCGAGACGAAGACAAAGAAAGAGATGAATAAATGGTGTAGCCGAAACCTGCAAAAAGATAAACAAATCCATCACCCAAGCCACCCGAGAAGCGCAAGACTAATACAGAAAACCACGACACTGGGCTATATGCTGGTATCAGTGAGACGACAAATGAAGAAGAAGAAGTATATATGTGTCTGATCATGTATTCTGTTAACAACTCAGGTCACTGTTGCCTCTGCAGAGCTCTCATTCCGCACAATAACGCTGATAAAAGTAATCTATGATCTATTATGTGACAAGGGCGACTGTTAGATTTTCCAAGACTATCATCAACTACAAGCCTTCTCTCCAATACTTCAACAGTTCTTTTCACAATTTTCACAGCGCTAATTTTCTCAAACAGGGAACTACAGCGAGGTAATCAAGAATAGGAAACTAACCAGAATCTCCCTAGTAGTTTTCCCTCTAAAATGTTAAAATATTTCGAGCGCAAGATAAAAGCATTATAACCTAAAAGGTAATGGCTATACACAAATCCACTCCTCTCCGTTCCCCCCTCTATTCGTATTGCATTTTCATAGAAGATGTTGATTAAGTGGTCTATATAGTGTAAGTTGCGTGGTTAAAAGATTTAGCAAACTATATGTAAAGCTGACCCAGTCCAACTATTTGTTTTGCAGCAAACAAGTGTCTACAGATCTCACTAGCATACGAGTATTTACTGCACAAGCGTTAGTGTTATGTTTGATCCATTTTGGTAAATTGTTCCAGAAGTTGTACAGTATGCCAAGGTTGTTCTGTCTATAAGTAGCCGACACTCCGGCATCTGCAATACATTTTAGCGATTCGAGTTGTTTTTAAGAATAAATCAAAAACTTAACCACATACAACCTGCTAATAGCTAGCCGAAGTTGCCAACAATTTCCGACTAAATGTGTGGTCTTGTTTATTCGCGTCACTTTCGTGGCTAAAGTTCTGGTATTTGCGCCGTCTCTGGGTTTGATGCTTCTTTCCTCAAAGTCAGACCGCTCATTCCCCATCCTGTTGTTCTTCTTGCTCTTGCATTTCTGATGTTTCCTGCTTCGTATCAGCTCCTTCTGATTTGGCCAGACGTATATCGTAGGAGATCGAGCTTCTTAACATTACGTCCACTGGACCACCATTTGTATTTTTAAAATTGTGAGTATTTTACTTTGCCAAAAAGTACTGAAAACTGTTTTTAGGTTTGGATAGATTCGAAATGTGAAAATATTCCACATGTGACCATAGTGGTCTTCAACTGTCTTCCTGCAATAAAAACGGGTTAATCATGCCATGGAGATGAGTGTGAAATGTTAGGCGAAGCCTCAAAATGATTATGTACGTCATTTGTTGTAGCGTGGTCCGATTGCGTCGGTTTGGGTTGGGTTGGCAGCTAAGCTCCGGTGTACGTAAATACCATTTACCTGGAAAAGCATTCAATCATCCCCCGTCGTTGTCGTCTTGCTGGATTCTAGCGTGGCCGTTAGCCGGGATTTATACGCATCACCTCACCAGTCTTTACCATCGTACCATTGGGGGTGGAGTGAAATTTTTGTTTAGCTGCTCTAGTCCTGTCAGTATCGATCCATTTGTCTTCCCTATTTGTACGTACGTACATACATACACACACACACACGCACGCACGCACGCACGCACACAAACACAGACAGACAGACAGACAGACAGACAGACAGACAGACACACATACATTCATACACACATACACACATACACACATACACACATATACACATACACGCATACACGCATACACACATATACACATTTATACACACACACACACACACATACACACATACACACATATACACATACACACATACACACATACACACATACAGACAGACAGACAGACAGACAGACAGACAGACAGACAGACAGACAGACAGACAGACAGACAGACAGACAGACAGACAGACAGACAGACAGACAGACAGTCAGACAGACAGTCAGTCAGACAGACAGACAGACAGACAGACAGACAGACAGACAGACAGACAGACAGACAGACAGACAGACAGACAGACAGACAGACAGACAGACAGACAGACAGACAGACAGACAGACAGACAGACAGACAGACAGACAGACAGACAGACAGACAGACAGACAGACAGACAGACAGACAGACAGACAGACAGACAGACAGACAGACAGACAGACAGACAGACAGACAGACAGACAGACAGACAGACAGACAGACAGACAGACAGACGGACGGACGGACGGACGGACGGACGGACGGACGACAGACAGACAGACAGACAGACAGACAGACAGACAGACAGACAGACAGACAGACAGACAGACAGACAGACAGACAGACAGACAGACAGACAGACAGACAGACAGACAGACAGACAGACAGACAGACTATTTATTTATTAATTTTAAAGGCACTTCAACAAAACTGGCGTTCAAGTATAAACACAGACTGGAGTTCTAAATTACTACGAACTTCTTACACGGCAAGTCACTTGATATTTACAGATCCGCATGCGACCCATAAGCCGGTGTACTTCAAGGCCGTGTGCATTTTAGGGATCCTTGAGAATATACACCAGTTTAGTAGATTATCATTTGTTTTTTGGTCCCACATAGACTATTCCTAAATTTGGTATTATATTTACAATAAATGAACGTATTAATCGTCGCATTAACAATTTCCAGTAACTGTCTAAAGGAGTTCAGACTAACATATACATTATTGTACCTTTTTCCCAGTCTAAACTCCAGCATAGCGAGTCCAGAAGAGCTAATTAGAATCTTTGGTGTGTTGCATATTATATACACGAGAGAAATCAGCGTCACCTGCATGACTACACGAACATCTTTGCCGGAAACTTTATCCGTTGACGACTCCCTGAATTTGGCCGCCGCTCGAAGGCTGCTGGTCATAACAACAACACAGATCAACACGATCACCTCGGTGGCTAGAGGAAGGATCGCGTCGATCAGCAGCAAGGCTATATCTTTGATGGATTCTCTGAATGGTGACATCCAGAGAGTTGGTCGCGATACTCGTGTCCTATTGTTGAAAGTCACAACAAAGCCCATGTTGGCAAGAACTGGGATATAGACAGTCACAGCAAAAGCGGCAAATCCAGACATGAAGTATACAGTTCTCTTGACAGTAAATGCATTTTTAAAGTGTAGTGGTTTGGCCACACACATACAGCGAGCAACTGCTAGAAACGTTGTAGTCAGTACATTAGTGATATTGATTAGTATTGAAATATTCGCAAAAAGAATCATCAAACCATAAGGCTCGACGGGGAACCAGGTTTGTGTTTTCAACTCAATTGTGCTTAAGGCTATTGAAATCCCTTGACAAAATGACGATGCAACGTACGTCAAATCGAAGACCGAGAGAGCTAGGAATGACACAGTGACGCCGTCATTAAGTCCCATAGCCACGAAGGTCTTGATGTTGATAACATTTGATATTATTCCCATAAATGAAACCAATGTCCATGCAACGGCGAAAAATGTCATAATTATTACATACTGACTAGCTGAAATGACACCATGGAGTGTTGTGTTTTGCATTGTTTGTTTCAACTATTATTTATTGTTTACCCTGGAGAGTGCAAAGTTAAACTTATTAAGCTCTGTTAAACTTCATTAGTTTCGTTGAACTCCATTCTTCTTAAACATCCATGCTGTGTGGCGTTGGTAGTCATGCCTATCCACAACCTTCTGTCTCGTGTACTTTCAATCAACTCTGACAATAAGTATCTCCCATGCCATGATGTCAACCAGTCGAGCATCTTGTCTCTCGGTCTTCCTTTACCTCTCTTGTCCTGTAGTTTTTCTAATGCCACTACGAACTCCAGTTTTCTCCTTCTCATGATATAAACTCCATTGGTTCCATTAAATGCAGGTGTGCTGGGTTGTTTTTTTTTTTAAGTCTCTCATTCGAACTGTCATACCACTTTGTGGTGAACTGATGTATGACAAGCTCGATGTTGTGAGGGCACTCTGGCAAGACTCAAGTGAACATATCAGAAGAAATCCTAGTCTGGGTAGCAGACCAAACAAGACCTGAAGGTGGGACACCATGAGACTAAAGAATCTCAGTTTTAATGGCAGCCCAGAAAGAAACGCCCAGATACCCCTTTTAATATCTGAGGAACGTTTAATAATTGCACCCATGATTGTTACACGAGAATGGTGAAACTTTCAGTCCTGGGCGGGTAATGATAACATGATGTTTCACGGAAGGATTAATCAACGAATTAAAATGAACAAAATCATCTCGTCTGCAGTCGCCGGAATGTTTCTGTTCTCTTCTGTGAACTTTATAGTCTTCGTTTATGTTAGGTTATTTCTTGTTATCAGATCTTAAACTGTAGCTTCAGTTCCTTTTGTAGGGTAGCAAAAATGATAACACAGATACAACGAATAGGTGATACAATACTCACCTTGACATGTCATAGCTGACACGTAGTCATTTATTCACATGAATAACTCATAATTACCAAATGGATTTGGGAGTGCGCATATCATTGCTATACGATACAGAAAATACGTACCAATCAATAACATCTTTTTATTTATTTTTCATTTCTTCATTAGTTATATAACTACAGTTTAAAACCGATGATGACACGTCTTTGTCATCGTAATATGTGTCCTGGGGGTAAATATGTTACTAATGTGACTAGTACTGACTGACTTAGACAGCACAGTGTTTATTTGTATGATGCAAGTCAGCCTTAGGCCTTTGTCAATCGATGTTCTGTTTCCCAGCACAGTTGGTTTGCAATCAACAACTAAGTGGGTAATAACCTTAACTGATGATAACTTACAGGAGATTAAAACATGCAATTTGATTCTCATCGTGGTCTTCTTACTCGGACTTTGATCGGTGTCACTTAATGACGTTGGCGGCGTTTAGATATCTCTCTGCTGTAGTCTCTATGACTGAGTGTGATGTGAGAGGTGGCAAAAGGTTTGAAAAAAGAGTGGAGCTGCTGTAATAACTGCTCTTTTCACTACCTCAGTGTTTGTGGTCTTGTCTTGACACTTGATGCTAATTATTCCACTTCGACATCACATGGGAAAGCTGGTTAACCGTTTCTCCGTGTGCAAATAAGCTGACAACGTTTTACTGCCGTAAAAAGGAGCAGTGAGAACGCAAGCCTGATAGGCAAAGAGTTTTTGTGTTAATCGAGACCTTTCTGTTCTCCCAAACTCTTTTTGTTGATCTGCTTATTGTTAGTGCTGCCTTACATATCCTAGTGTTGATTGTTTGGTTCTGCGAGTTTGTAGATCCCAGATATGTAAAAATGACCAGCTGTCTATAGGTCTTCACCAACAGTGCAGACTGCAGGTATATCATTAATATCTTGCATCATTGTCTGTGGTGGACCGTGTTGCGTGGAGTGGGCACATCAGAAAGGGATTAAGAATGAAGGAAGACGTCACCGCAGAAAGGATGAGATCTGAGCATCTGAGAATAAACACATGAAATAGTATGATGGCAACAGCGGTCTTGAAATCCCAAATTCTAATTGTGGAATATTTTGTTAACGCGGCCGGGTCCTGCTAGTCACACTCGTCATATGAGAATGCCCCGAGTGCTGTATGTCGGTTCTTGAAACTCAACTTAGCTCACCATCGCCAAAGGCTGTGAGTCCTATTCCTCATTTCGCAATTTAACAAGACACTATCGTCTGGAAGGACGGAATGGGGTCAACAACAATACATGTGTAAACAGGCGAGTGGACAAACATGAACACATAAGCAAGAAGTGTATTATCATTATAAAGTACAGTGTCCAAAGAATTAGACGATTATGCTTCTGAGGGCACTCTGGGAGCGAGTGAACAGTCTTATGATCTCTAACAGCGTGTATCATTTTAACTTTCAGTATTTGTTATCTCAACTCATTCTGTCGGAAGCAGTTGCTTCAAACACTAAAATTCTGACTTTAAGGATTTCGTGTAATAACTCTGTCGAACAAAAGTTAAAGTAAAAGTGAGTTTGAGTGCAGATGAAAAACGGAACAAGTCACAAGAAGTATAGAGAGACACTATGATCCAGATGAAGACATTTTATAGTATGCCAACACATCCAGTGAAAACTAGATTAGATGATTTGGCATTGGGGCGCTTGAATGTTGGCAACTTTGTCCATCGGGAGGAGGAGGGAAGGGAGACTTAAACGAAAGTAGCAAGCATACCTGCCTATGAGAAAAACCTGCCCTATATATAGCTTTCTGGAACTCCAACAATTACTGCAGAGGAACGAAACTCCGACTCTACAAGAGCATCATTTTGCCAGTTCTTCTTTATGGAGCGGAATGCTGGAGAAATGACCAAAAAGGATGCACACAAGCTGTCCACCTTCCACCACACATGTCTACGTAGAATTATCAAAATTTTCTGGCCAGATACAATTTCAAATACTAAACTACTTCAAGCCACAAACCAAGAAACTTTAGACAGTATAATTACCAAGAGAAGATGGAAATGTCTTGGCCACGTTATGAGAATGGCTTCTGATATACCTGCCAAAACAGCTCTCATATGGACACCAGAGGGAAAGAGAAAACAGGAGCGCCCAAAAACAACAAGGAGACGAACGATGGAAAGTGACCTGAGTGCCGCATCTTTGACATGGAAAACTGCACGTGAAGATTGCATAGGACAGGAAAGCATGGAAAGTCCTCTCTGAAGCCTCATGTGCCACTAGGCATAACGAGAACTGATGATGATGATGATATATAGCTTGTAATTTGTGATCAATAATGATTTCAGTTATTGGACTCGCAACTGAAGATGAGTCGAATGACCTTTAAAAACGATCAGTTGCTCTAAGTATAAATAATCGAAGAAAATTATCTCGAACAGTTGAGGATACATGCTTACACAGATGGATCAGCAACCAGTGTGGTATTGACATCTTTATTACATATCCAGACAGCCTCTGCCACAAACAAAGTATACGCACACTTGTAAATTCTGTTCCTGCTACCTAGCAGAGATCTTAGCACTAGAGTAGGCCGCCAAAATATTACGTAACAATCTCTGTTGGCATCAGGTGAAAATCTTAACTGATACGCAATTGGTGCTACAAGTCCTCAAGAGTGGCAAATACCCTCAGCCTCTGAGAGAGAATTTAGCAAGGTGGCTGAGCAAAATTCTAGAGTACTCCAGTGGGTACCATTCCACTGTAGTATACGAGGAAACGAAACAGCGGATAAACTTGCTAAGAAAGAGGCAGATATAAACAGGAAGACAATGACATATCACATTTCAAGAAAACAAAAGGGGTCATCCACTCTATCAGAAGTAAACAGTGTGGCCATAGAAGACAACCACTTACTTGATCGACATGGCTAGGTCATTATGACAGGACATAACAAACTTAAGCATATGCACAAGCTCTTTTAAGTAGTTCGACACTGTGCCTACGTGGACTGTGTATGCAAACTGTATAGCCCATTAAGAAAGGAATACTGGCCCAGTGAATCAACATCATTCTCAAAGTTGTGAGGAACTAAAAGGGAACCTCCTACAAATTAAAAAAATCCATTTTATCACAAAAACTTGTGTGTCGTAAATCAGACAGTGATCACAAGAAGAAGTCACAAGAGGTTGATAAGGGCATTTGTAAGAAGTTAACTGATGCCTGCCCAGAATACAAGAAATTAAATGGTATGATAGAATCACTAATAGAAAGCTTTAGGAAAGAACTAAGCAAGTTCCAATGGACCCAGAGGTAAAGAAATGATGCTGGTGTTGAGAAAACCTGAGAACAATATAACTAGAATGTCTTTGCTCTGGAACCCACAGGGCCACAGGAAGAAAGGAAGACCCCCCCCCCCCCCCCCCCCCCCCCCCCCCCCCCCCCCAAAAAAAAACATGGAGAAGGGAGCTGGAGCGTAAAGTTAAAAAATATGGCGAGGACATGCGGAGAGCTGCATAGCGAAGAATACGGCTTGCCATGAGTTGGTTGAAGGCCTATGCTTCACTGGGGGTTAGAAATGCAGAAAGAGAAAAACTTGACAGTTAAGAGCTGACAGTTCTATGAGATGACAAAAAGATGTCAAGAACCTTCTCGTGTCTTCTTCTGTCTCATTTTCCACATTTCTTTTTCTCCATGTGTTGCAGTTCCAGTTCCTTTCTTCTCATAATCTGGCAAAAAATAATTATTGCCTCTTTCTGATTTTTGTGATCAGCTGTCTTTGCATCTTAGCCTCTAATAATTAGATTACTCAGCTGGGCTGTCCAAGGAATGTTAAATATTCTTCTGCAAAAACCACATCAATAACTGATATATCAAACAGTAACAACAACAAAGCAAAAAAACACGCATTTCGTGATAATCTGTTGCTATTTGTTTTAATTTTAGTTGTATGGTTTTGTTTATGTTGCATTGCGGTTTTCAATGGTATAATGACATGTAAACAACGAGCAAAGTAAATGTATGAGACACTATAACAATACAAAATGTACAACTCATGAAAAGTAACGCTGAAGACTAACAGTAAACCCATATTGACAAATTCAAAGAAACAATATAGTCAAACACTGAGCCTT